ACACACGTTTTTATATCACTGTATCTTTAGAAACTTTTCGATGTCATTTTCATTTCATCTTGAATGTTATACGCCTGATAAAGCAGCGTTTGTGAGCGCAGCACTGCTTTGTGTACAGCCGTTACTGGGAAAACCTGTTTTAGTTCTGTCCTCCCCGCTGTGACAACTCACAAAAGACTATTTTTAACCAAGCAGCGTGGAGAGCCGCTTCAGAAACGTGCCACGGCTGGCTATAAACACAAGCACTGACTAGAGCGGCCGCGATCAGCTCCGGTGGCCGTGGAGCCGTAACGCGCCGCAGAAGCGTGCAGCTCTGACGTCACTGAAGCTGCTGTGTAGATGAATCATGCAAAACATACACAACAAACAGCGAATCTTTAATTGTTTCTCGAAACGTCATAGCATTTCCACACCAGCGATGACATGACTGCGGCACCAAATCATTTATGTCCTCACGCATCATGTACGTCGTCACGCGTTGACGTCATCAAATTGCAATCGGTTCCTGAGATCGGCCAAGTTAGTGAGAACCGATTGAGTCATAAAATATGATTATCGGCCGATACCGATCTCCGGCCGATCGATCGGAGCATCCTTAATATATATATATATATATATATTAGGGGTGCAATGGTTCTCGGTAAAAAATCTAACCGTACGGTTCTCCACACACGGTTCGGCATGCACTAGGACCGCGGTTCAACTTAAATCTGACAATGCACCTGTAATATGGTTTGTTAGAGTTCGGCTAATGCATGTTTCTGTTGCTGGATACAAATTCTGGCTTCCTAATACATTACAACAAGAGCGATGAGAGAGAAAAAAACAATACATGGACAAACCAGTCACTCTTTGTTCAATGTGAGTGCTTTATGCTGGAATAAATGTCATTAATGCCGTCATCACATGTTGATAGCGCAGGTGAGACCTGAACAGCACACGTCGCTATCTGTGTTTAAACTAAACTCATTTAAGCCTTGCCAGTTTAAATATGAAAGAGCCAGAAGACGTGAACTCGCGCGCGTGCGCAGTGAGAAGATCTGTGTGTGCGCTCAGCCGAACGTCAGCGTCTCAGAACGCATGCACATATTAAGCTCTCTGTGAAGTAGTGTGCTTAAATGGACAAATTCACACAAAAATGATGTCACAATGCCCGTCTTGGTGAGTATCCTAGCAGACATAGCCGGCTGAGCGTACAGTATCAGTGCGTTCTCTTAAAGTGACAGCACTTTCTTAATATTAATCAAACAGCAACAACACGGAAATCTCTCACTGCTCTTGACTGAATAACTTTTGTAACTTTAATAAGGATTCATCTTTCATTTATACAGTCAGATGTGCAATGTTATTTTACATTTGATTACTTTATTCAATATCTGTGCCTAAAAACTAATGATAGACCAACCTAAAAAACCTGAAAAGCACTGTTTATTTTATTTGTATCTTTGCTCTATTGTATTTATTTGTGCTGTTGCTTGTAGTTAGATTGTGTTCTTATTTGCTTTATTTTTATTTGACAATATAGTTTTTTCCCTAAACATAGCACATACCGAACCGTACCGAAACCGTGACTCTAAAACCGCGATACAAACCGAACCGTGAGTAAGTTGAACCGTTGCACCCCTAATATATATATGTAATTTTATACATTTTAATATATATTTAGATTTTATTAGATTGATTTTATAACATTGATTTAATTACAGTTGTTAGCTGGTGGTCTCTCAAAATTATATCAATATGAATTTTTCTATCAATATGAATCTCGCCATTTTTTTATATTTTAACATAACCAGATTAAAACATTTACAGTATATTTCCTGTATTAACATATACATTTTAGCCTGTTTAACTATACATTTTTACTGTCTTTTCCAGCAATTTAATTAATTTAATTTAATTAACAACAAAATTCAACTGAAATAAAATAACATAATATTTTAGTATTTTATAATTGTGTGTGTGTGTGTTTGTATGTATATGTGTATGTATATATATATATATATAAACACAATAAGGGCGTGATGAGTGAACAATGAGTGATGTTTTAGTATATTTATATACTGTTATAGTATTTATTAATATTTTCAATTTGCTTTTTATTTTTCATTTTAATTTTAGTTTAAGTTATAATAATCTTATGTGCATTTGTTGTTGTTTTTCTGTTTAGCTTAATTTTTATTTCAGTTTTAGCAATTGTAGTACTTATTTTATTTCAGTTATTTATTTTTAAACGAATCATCTGAATGAACCAATTCCGTGCAATGCATGAACCCGGTGTTATTTAAAGAGAGAGGTATTTTTATCACTGTTCGCTGCACATCAGACAGAGTTTAATGATTGTCTCGATACAGTGTGACATTAAACAGCTACTTATTTACATTAGAGAATGAGCTTGTTAGTGAAGCAGCAGCTGAGCTACAGTCACACTGCTGTAATGTGTAGTTCTGTTGGCTTAGTAGTGTCACTAGTCTGAGAGCCGCTGGAGTTGATCTGACTTGCTCTTTCAGCAGTTTTCCACACATCAGTCACTCCTAATGTGATCTAGTCGCGTCTAATCGAATCTTCCTCTGCATTTACACTCTTAATATGAATGAATGACGTGAAGCAGCTCAGCGCTCGACAGCAGAGCTGATCGCATTCTGTGTGTCTGCATGCAAACACTCCTTTCTGCTTTATAAAGCCTTTGGGATACAGTTTATGTTCTACATAGTGTTTTATTTTCCCCTTCTAATGTTGACTCATGGTCATGATGATTACATGATGTGTTTAACACATTTAATTGTATATATTTTTCATGTGTCTTTTCCAGTAATATGATAGTTTTTCAAACACAGTTGTTTTGAAATCAAAAATTTTTTTTTTTTATAATATTTTTTTTTTTCATAGTTTTCATAATTTTTTTTCTTTTAAATATAGCATTTTTTCGTGATGATAATTGGATGCCACTCGCTGCATTAAATGTGCAACTTGATTGTATTTTTTCTTTTATAGTACTTTTTGCGTGAAACATTTTTTTGGTGTCAGTGTTGGTTTTGTTGAAATTATTTTCTGATTGAAAAAAAATCGCCATTTCAGAGCAATACATATTGAGACAAATATTTAATATTGCCAAAAGGCAGGAAAAATATTGACATTAATTTTCTTAATTCATAATATGTTATCATAATTACATAATATTATAATATAATAATTATATAATATTTAAAATTTAAATTTTATTTTAAATAATTTGATAATCTTTTGTTTTATAACACACATTTTATAAGTTTTTATAGCTGCTCATCATATTAACATAGAAATAAAAGTTGTGATATTTTCACTGATTTATATCAGTTGTAATGTGATTATAATTAAGATTATGCCTACTTTGCATATTTTAAATGATTAAAGTAGAAATGCAAAAGAAATGTAGATATTATGTATATTTTTAGAATGCTTTGATTAAATGCAAGTAGATATTCTGACCTGTAGTATCAGCAGATACAGTAAAACAAGCGGTTTTACCGCAGTAACGTCACAGAAGAGATGAGAGAATCTGCCGTCATGCGTGAAAACACAATCTGCTTCTAATTAGCCTGTGATTAGCCCACTCTGTGTGTGTGTGTGAGTGTGTGTGAGAGTGTGTGTGTGTGAGAGTGTGTGTGTGTGTGTGTGTGTGTGAGCGAAAGTGTGTGTGTGTGTGTGTGTGTGTGTGCGAGTCAGTGCGTGAGCGTGTGTGTGTGTGTGTGTGTGTGTGTGCGAGTCAGTGCGTGAGCGTGTGTGTGTGTGTGTGTGTGTGTGTGCGAGTCAGTGCGTGAGCGTGTGTGTGTGTGTGTGTGTGTGTGTGCGAGTCAGTGCGTGAGCGTGTGTGTGTGTGTGTGTGTGTGTGTGCGAGTCAGTGCGTGAGCGTGTGTGTGTGTGTGTGTGTGTGTGTGCGAGTCAGTGCGTGAGCGTGTGTGTGTGTGTGTGTGTGTGTGTGCGAGTCAGTGCGTGAGCGTGTGTGTGTGTGTGTGTGTGTGTGTGCGAGTCAGTGCGTGAGCGTGTGTGTGTGTGTGTGTGTGTGTGTGCGAGTCAGTGCGTGAGCGTGTGTGTGTGTGTGTGTGTGTGTGTGCGAGTCAGTGCGTGAGCGTGTGTGTGTGTGTGTGTGTGTGTGTGCGAGTCAGTGCGTGAGCGTGTGTGTGTGTGTGTGTGTGTGTGTGCGAGTCAGTGCGTGAGCGTGTGTGTGTGTGTGTGTGTGTGTGTGCGAGTCAGTGCGTGAGCGTGTGTGTGTGTGTGTGTGTGTGTGTGCGAGTCAGTGCGTGAGCGTGTGTGTGTGTGTGTGTGTGTGTGTGCGAGTCAGTGCGTGAGCGTGTGTGTGTGTGTGTGTGTGTGTGTGCGAGTCAGTGCGTGAGCGTGTGTGTGTGTGTGTGTGTGTGTGTGCGAGTCAGTGCGTGAGCGTGTGTGTGTGTGTGTGTGTGTGTGTGCGAGTCAGTGCGTGAGCGTGTGTGTGTGTGTGTGTGTGTGTGTGCGAGTCAGTGCGTGAGCGTGTGTGTGTGTGTGTGTGTGTGTGTGCGAGTCAGTGCGTGAGCGTGTGTGTGTGTGTGTGTGTGTGTGTGCGAGTCAGTGCGTGAGCGTGTGTGTGTGTGTGTGTGTGTGTGAGCGAAAGTGAGTGTATGTGTGTGTGTGTGAGTGAGAGTGTGTGTGTGTGTGTGTGAGAGAGAGAGTGAGTGTGTGTGTGTGTGAGTGAGTCAGTGTGTGTGTGTGTGTGTGTGCGTTGGTCTGTGATCTAAACGCAGCCAGAAAACACCTCATGTCAGGAGAAACAGCTCATTCAAACTCAAAAACACAAAAGCAAGACGACAGCAAACGACTGAGCAGCCAAAACTGAGTGAAAAATGACTGAACAATAACCGTAGAGTATGTTATTATGTATGTTATAATTATGGGATTTTAGTGGTCGATTCCCTCAGATGCCACACCCATTCTCATCTAATTTGCATACAAGCCACACCCTCGGTCATGTAGCCCCGCCCCCTTACCTTCTGTTTCCGCCTCTCTTTCCTCTTGTCTTCTGTGTCCTGCAGCATCTTCTCTCTCCACAGGTCGAAGAAGTACGACGGGTTGGTGTAGAACTTCAGCCCTTCCTTCCCATCATCCCTAGAGACAGACGCAGATCAGGTGTGTTCAGTGCACCGTTTGTGCATGAGAGTATTATCTGTACATCTGCAAAATGTGCAGTACAGAGAACAATAATGGAGTGCTGTTTCCCACAATGCAATGATCTTGACTTGACCGTCCATTTACAATGCATGAAACCATAATATCCGAGAATATTAAATATCTGTTCTTTGACTTATTTGATTGGACATGTCATTTTTATACAAATTAGAATTTTTAATTAAAATGATGACATAATATGTTATATTAATATTTATATTTTATATAAGAATATACATATATTTATATATATTTTATATTATCATTTTTTTATTATGATAATTGGGCTGTAAAATGTATGTCATTTTATACAAGATTTAATTGAAACAAAATAATCACATATTAATTTATGTATTTTAAATAATAATATACATATATTTTTATATATGTTATATTATAATATCATTTCATGAGGATAATTGGACTGACAAAATATGTCATTTCATACAAAATTTTATTGAATTAAAAATAATGACATAATATTTAATGCATTTGATCTTGTTTATACTTTATATAATAATATATATTTATAAATGTTATATTATAATATTTTATGATGATAATTGGACTGTCAAAATGTCATTATAAAACAATTAATTTGAAAAATATTAATATTTTTATGTATTTTATAAATTATATTTTACATTTGATGTATATATATATAAAATATGAAAATAATATATTTATAAATAATATAAAATAATAGATTTTTTAAATATTTATAAATAATAAATATAAATATATAAAATAATATTATCATTAAGGTTGATAATTGGACGCCACTCTCTGAATTAAACATGCAATATAGTTGTATTTTTACTTTTTTTTATGTCAGTGTTGGTTTTGTTGCAGTTATTTTCTAGCTGAAAAAATTATTTTAACCCATTGTAGAGCAAGTATTCTTTTTTTTTCTTTTTTTATGTGTTAAAATATTTTTTTTCCTGACATATATTTTGAGTATTGTCAAAAGGCAGAAAAATAAGACATTAATTTAAGATTATAATATTTTAAATGATTAATTATTATGTAATTTTCCAGCTCTATTGCACAGCCCTAGTTAGCAGTAGACCAGTATCTGTCATTAATCACAGACTGATATCATTTGACATTATTAATGTGCAACTGAACAGCGAGAGCTGTGAGAATAGCTGAAAACTGATATTACACCTCCTCTGCTCCTCACACGTCTCTCTCTCTCTCTCAAGTTCTCCTTCAGCACATCACATACTCGTTTCTCGTTTCATTTGAGTTGGTCGAAATGCCAAATGAGCAAAGACAAAATAAGGACAAAAGAACAATACAGAACAAATGAAGCAATTATCACCTCCAGACTCTCCTGACTGGAAACTACACATTCACACAGCTTCAATTTGGTTGTTTTAAAAGAAATTAATAATTGTATTAATCAAGGCCGCATTAAATTGGTCAAAAGTGACAGTAAAGACATTTATAATGTTACAAAAGATTCTATTTCAAATAAACGCTGTTCTTTTGAACTTTCTGTTCATCTGTGAATCCTGAAAAATAAAATGCATCACGGTTTCCACACAAATATTAATGTTTTCAACATTGATAATAATCAGAAATGTTTCTTGAGCAGCATATTATACTGATTTCTGAAGATCGTGTGACACTGAAGACTGGAGTAATGATGCTGAAAATACAGCTGCGCATCACAGGAATAAATTAAATTTGATTATATATTCACATAGAAAAGAGTTATTATAAATGGTAATAATATTTCACAATTTTACTGTATTTTTAATTAAATAAATGCAGTCTTGGTGAGCAGAAAAGACGTCTTCTGTATAATTATGAAGACGAGCACAAAGCCGCTGTTGAGGAAAATGAGCGATTCTAGCCAAAAGAGGATTTCTTTAACAGACAGTGGTTTTACAGGAGGTGATGTCTAATAAAATAACCTCCGGTGCTGGCGTCTTCATGAACTAATGAGGGAACGTGTGAAGAGAGCGGGAGCTCATGCATATTACGCATCTCTCAAAATAAATGTTGCAGCCTCCAGAAACACTCGAGCATTAACTCCAGAAACACTCGCTCGGTGTGACGCACGTGTGACAACAGCAGCAGAAGCACATGACAACTGCATAAACCAGACGATATCGCTCTTTCATCGCTTAGTTCATGAAATATCAACTAAAAGTGCTAAACAGACACCAGTGAGTCACTAACACTAGAAATATAGAGCAAAAATATGAGCTCAGATCCTTTGAGTTCACTGGGAAAAAATGCTTTCTTATTCTGGTTTTTGTTGGAATCAGCTTCCAGAAGAGATCAGATGTGCTAAAACATTAGTCACATTTAAATCTAGACTCAAAACTCATCTGTTTAGCTGTGCGTTTACTGAATGAGCACTGTGCAACGTCCGAACTGATTGCACTGTATTTTATGTGTAATCTTTTTCTATTTTTAACCGTCTTAAATTCATTTTAAATCCATTTTTAAACTCCTTTTTTTAAATTCCTTGTTTTATGTTTTATGATTATTTTCTTTTCTTTTATGTAAAGCACTTTGAATTACCATTGTGTACGAAATGTGCTATAGAAATAAACTTGCCTTGGTTTTTTGCACAAACATCTAAACATTTCTGGAGGCTGCAACATTTATTTTGAGAGATGCGTAATATGCATGAGCTCCCGCTCTCGTTCTCTCTCTATCAATTGCAAGAAAAAAGTCAGAATTGCAAAATATGAAGTCGCAAATGTAAGAAAATAGTCAGTTTTCCCCTCAGAATTGAGTTTATGTCTCAGAATTCTGAGGAAAAAAAGGTCAGAATTGCGAGAAAAAAGTGTTTTATTTTTTATTCAGTGGCGGAAATGGGCTTCCATACTTTCTCATTGCTGTTTGTGTTATTTTAGTAATATTGAGGTGATATATGTGACCCTGCAGCACAAAAGCAGTGTTAAGTCGCTGGGGGATATTTGTAGCAATAGCCAACAATATACTGTATGGGTCAAAATTATCCATGTCTCTTTTATGCCAAAAATCATTAGGATATTAAGTAAAGATCATGTTCCATGAAGATATTTTGTAAATTTCCTACCGTAAATATATCAAAACTTCATTTTTGATTAGTAATATGCATTGCTAAGAACTTCATTTGGACAACTTTAAAGATGATTTTCTCAATATTTAGATTTTTTTGCACGCTCAGATTCCAGATTTTCAAATATTGTCCGATCCTAACAAACCATACATCAATGGAAAGCTTATTTCCTCAGTTTTCAGCTGATGCATACATCTCAATTTCACAAAATTGACACTTAAGACTGGTTTTGTGCTCCAGGGTCACATATACGGTTCGATGTAAATCTAATGATCGGCGCATCTCCGGTTGCTGTATGCTGATGATCTGTCGGGTCTGATGTGTGAATGTGGTTCTGACCTGTAGGGCGTGAGGATGTTCAGCGGTGGAGGTTGTTCGCACAGCTCGTATGTCTCCTGCATGGGGAAGGGAAGAGACTGACGCTCAAACAGCTGCTGGTCCTGAATGATGGAGCTGCGGAAGGCCTTCCTCATGGTGATGTCCTGAAGAGACACTGAGACACAAACACAGCATTCACTGACTGACATCTGCAGGTGAGTCTGACTGAATTAACAGACTGACCTTTGGATGGACGTTTAAAGCTTATTTGAAGGGATTGGATCTATGATTGATGCATTTGAAGCGTAAATAAAGCAGATTTAGACTAGATCGAAACAGCCTCAAGAACCACATAGTCTAAATTCTTCGCTCTGAATCTTCCATTGAGTCTGAATCTGGACGACACATGGGTTTACATTTTCCCAGAGATTAATGAAAACCTACTTTTTCAAGCCTATCTTTGTCCTGTGTACATGAAGTTTAGCATGTAGCATCTAGATTGAAAGTTTTGTCAATGAATTTTGATTCATCTCATTGCTTGGCAGATGCAAGCCAATACTTGTTTTGAACGTGGCCCATAATGACTTACAGACCTGTATGTTGTTAATGCAGAGTCCAAACTTCACAAAAAATGGTGCAAATGTACGTCAGGACAATCTGAGTGAACATGCCAAATCTTAATAATTTACAGCGATAGGGAGCACTATAACATAAAAAAATATTGTTAAGAAACCTCTCATCCCTTGGCAGATTCAAGCCAATACTCGTTTTGATTGAGGCCCATAATTGACCTGTGTACTATTAATGCAGAGTCCAAACTTCACCAAAAATGGTACAACTGGACATCAGGACAATCTGAGTGAACATGCCAAACCTCAGTAATTTACAGTGATAGGGGGCGCTATAACATAAAATAATATTGTGAAGAAAATATGAAGAAAAATATTTTGAATTTGAGCTGCCGTGGCTGTTTTACAGTCTTACCTATCAATTCAAACGTAGAAAATATACGTTTACGTAGAACATATTCTTACAGTAGGGAAAGAGAAAGGCATGGAGATGTTGACTGTGTCTTAAAGATGCTTTAGCATTTGAGTTCTGGATTTTATCGGCTGATATGAAATGCCTCTAAATGTACACTAACATTCAAAATAATTGAAGTCAGTGTGACAAATTGACCTGTATTTTGTTAATGCAGAGTACAAACTTCACAAAAAATGGTGCAAATGGACATCAGGACACTCTGATTAAGCACGCCAAATCTCATTCATTTACAGCAATAGGGGGCGCTATAATCTAAAAAAATTGAGCTTGAAGTTTGAGTTGAATTGAGTTTGAAATTGAGCTGCGTAAATATGAATGCAAATGTAGAAAAGTATGATTTTCTTACAGTAGAAAAAGAGAAAGGGTTGGAGATGTTTACTGTCATTAGAGACATAAAGACGCTTTATCAGTTGTTTTTTTTAATTAGCAGTAAGATTTTTTTAATGTGGCCCAACATGATTAACTGAATAAAAAATTTAAATAAATTGTTTAATGCAGAGTCCAAACTACACAAAAAATGGTACAAATGTACATCAGGACAGTCTGAGTAAACATGCCAAATCTCATTAATTTACACTGACAGAGGGCGCTATAATGAAAGAAAATATTGTGCAACTTGGATCAAGGAAAGTGAAATTTTCTAAATAAATTTCTGTATTGGATCTTTTTTTTTTCTCAAATTTGACAATTATTATTATTATTGTTAGACTTTGATTTAATATTGATGTTTATTATATTGCTCTTGACACTATTTTAAGAAAGCAGTAAGTCAATCGAACACTTTAAACAATTGTTTTTCGAAGTTGTAAATAAAACAATGATTATTGCAGTATGTTTTATGTCTTTTTTCAAAATTTCAGGTTTAGTTCAGTGCTACTTGCCATTTCTTTGTGAATAATTGTGAAATTTACTAGCAAAAATTGTTTCTACACCAATTTTTTTTTCAGTGAACTTGTGTGTTACAGATATTTTACTTAAGTTAAGTTTCTTTAACAGAACCTTTTTGTAAAGTGAAGTAAACTCACTGTAATGCACAACCTCGAGAGCCATTTATCACAATTTGAAGTGAAGCTTTGGATGTTTGTCAAGAGTGTGTTTGGTGCTTCATGTTTGTGTGTTTGTCTCTCTACACATACTCTCATCTCTTTGTCTTTTTCCTGATATCCAGGCGTATTTCCATCACTCTTGTGTACAAACGTCTTTATTTGTCTCTTGCCGACAGGCAGCTGGTGACACTGAGGTTGATGGGAAATGAAAGTGTAATTAAATCATTTGAATGGCAGAACGCAGTGGCGCTGTCTGATGTCAAAATAATTACAGCCGAACCGAGAGCTGCTCTGAGCATCATTGTAATCGTCTAATTGTCCCAATTATTGTCAGACAATTCAAAACGATACTTACTGCTAAAGTAATTTATGCTAATTAGGTAATTTTGCATGCAAATGCAATTGATCTGTAGCATGGCCAATGGTCAGGGTCTGCCAGTTATGCTTTATTTATTTATTTAGTTGTTGTTGTTAAGATTATGAGATACAACAAATAGAACTTATGCATGGTTTTTGTTAACTCAAGCATCATTACAAGTGCTCAAAATGCTCAGACGTTTACCTGGTGGATGATAAAATAGCAGAAAAAGACTCATAACTTCAGAAAATATGAAGATAACTTTTTAAAGTTCAGAAGGTCTGGAGGAGCATCAGAGCGGCGGTTCTATACATGCATTGCATTATAAGAAGAAAACACCGGCATCTACTCAGAAATCCTCTCAACGTTTAAGTGCTTTTGAGACACATTAGTGCTTTTTCTTTTGCAATTAAAAGCCAAAATGGAAAAAAAATACATACATAAATACAAGATAATCACTTTGAAATAATGTACTTTAAAAGAATATACTTTAGTGCAAAGTAAATGTAATGTTTTCGGACACTTAATTGCATGTTAATTTCAATTAAATAAAGATATATTATATTTTGCATTTATTTAGCGCAATGTGAATAACGCTTTTGGTGTGCACACACCATAACGGTCATGCACGTCCATCTAGTGTGTGTTTACACAGAAAAACAATGGAAAAGTAGTGCATTGGAATGGAAAAAACGCATTCTGTGTGAACGGCCACTAAAATGTTCTTTAAAGTAAAACGTTTAATTTGACATTATTACAAAGTGCACTTTTAAAAGTGTGTTAAGTACACTTAAGCTGCCTTTTATTTTCTTAATATATTATATGCAAATACAGTTTTTAAAAAATATACTTTTAAGATTTGAAGCACACATTCAGTACAATCAAGTGCACTTCTTTTTAACACGGGTGCTTTCAGAAACCTTCAGGAAAAAGTCAACATTAAGAAGGCAAACTAAATATTATATGAGGTTTCTATTTGTTTTACATGATGTTTTGTTACCAAAATATGTGTCTGAATACAAATTACAGCCTGATTTGTTCATTATTTTCATTAAATAAACAACGCAATTAAAATGTATGTCACAAAATCATGCCAGAACAGGGCTGCCGACTGAGCCTAAATGAAGTGATGTTGAGGTAGGTTTGAGAAGAGAAGTGAATGCATTTACTGACACTTTTGATGGTTTTATAGTGTGTTTTTGTCCGTTTGAAAGACATGATCCGTGTGAATGACATCTTTTGTGTTGCTCAGATGAATAAGCTGCGTGTGGGTTTGAAAGGTGAGTAAATGATGACGGCTTTTATAGGAAAATCTTTACATGCATATATATATATATATATATATATATATATATATATAATTTGTTTGTACATTTATGCATTAAGCATAAGCTTTCATCCAAAGAGCCTTTTTTTGTAAAATGGATTTGCTCCAATAATTTGCAACACTTACTGTAAAACAACCCACAAACTAACAGCATTTCTGAGATGATTCTGACGCGTTGAACGACCACTAGAAGCGTTACCTGTCCAGATGAATCATGGGTCATAATGAGCCTCAGCGTCTGATCGTCACTCTGATATCACATCACATGTGTGTGTGTGTGTGTGTGAGTGTGGAGTGTGTATTTGAGTGTGTGTGTGTGTGTGTGTGTGTGTGTGTGAGACTGCGTTCAGCTTTTCTACATGAAGTGTGAAACATTTAGAGCGTGACTTGTGTTCATATGTGTGTGTGTTTGTTCCTCAGTGATTTCAATAAACTGAGCCATCCAGTTCATCACAACACTCGCAGAGCAGAAAGGAAATAAAGTGTTTACTGAAGGACTTTCAGGCGTTTATCTGGACATGAGCCTCATCACTCGCTCTCAGGGGGCTTTAGCTTTGTGTGTCAGAAACAGACTGAAAATCAACTTCCCTGTTACACACGTTGGACATTTGCTTGAAATAAAGTCGTTTTAATGTTGAAATGGCATTTAATGATACATGATCATAAAAAGATCGTAAATTTTCTCAAATTTTATCTCAGAATTCAGACTTTGTTATAAAACCAGTTCTGAGTTTCTTAATGTCTTAATTCTGTTTGTTTTTTCACCACAGTATACAAAATAAAAAAGATAATTATGACTTTTATTGCGCACAGAGTTTATAAAAAGTACGAATTATATATATATATGCATAATTTATTTCAGGTAGCAAAAATATTTTATTTTTTTCACTTTTTCTGTAATTTTTTTATTTATATATGTATATAGGAAAGTGCATTTCTGGTAAACATCAGTTCATTTTCACCTTCACCATTTATTTATTATTATTTTAAAAGGTCTTATTATTAAAAAACAAAACAAAACATTTTTTAATAATACAAATATTTAATTTACAATTTTTGGTAGACGCTTTTATTTAAAGCGCCGTTGCATTGCATTCGCATTTATATGATTAAATTCATGCATTCCCTGGAAATCAAACTTATGTTCTTTTTCTCTTTGTAAATACATTTTTTTTGCATGCATAATATATATATATATTTTTTTTTTAAATAACATAACTAGCAGAATTGATGGTGAAAACTACATTACCCATGATGCACGGTCTGTCAGTCATCTCTCCTTACTCTGTGTTGGATGCAGCGTTGCCAAGTCTGTGTTTTTTCCTGTTTTATTTTTGTGAAAACTTATTACGTATATGGAATAACCATTTTATAAAAGCAATAAGCCCCGTGAAGCTTACTCTGCTTTGCATCGTGCCTAACAACGCCCCTTAGCTGTTATAATTCACTGTAAACCACGGCTTCAAGGGGCGGAATTGACTGAAATGCTTTTATTGAAATATTTTGCATTCTACCTATCATAAAACTGCACTAAATGTTAAGTTTTGTGAAGGAGGGTCACTGGTAGGAAGCTCTTTAGCTGTGTTTATGATCAATGTGCACAGCAGTGACTGTAAAATATGTATTTTAGGTATGGAAATTACATATTTTGAGTTTTCTATTTGGGATATGGTCATTGCGCTACTTTGGGATGTTTTGGTTAGTTTTGTTAGACCTGGCAACCCTGGCTGTATGGAGCCAGGTCTCTCTCTCTATGCATATTTTGCAATTAACTTATAATATATAAGTATATATATAATATACAATAATAGTTTCATATTTCAGTTAATGTCATTCACAAAGCTTCATGGGATTGTAGAATAACGGTAAAACTACTTGCGCTACAAACCAGTGTTTATAATGAAGACAATACATTAAAATAATATGATCAGAAATACCAGTTTGCAAGATCCTAAATACCAAATTTAGGTAATAAAAATGTTGTGGGAATGTTGTTTTGAAATGCTTCTAAAACATTAAGGCGTCCAGTTTCATAAGAATGATTTCTGAAGATCATGTGAGACTGGAGACTGGAGTAATGAAGCTGAAAATACAGCTTTGATCACATAAATAAATTACTTTTTAAAACATATTAACATATTAATCACTGATTTTAAATTATAATAATTTTTCATAATTTTGTAATGTATTTCGGATCAAATAAATGCAGCCTTGGTCAGCAGAAGAGACTAAAAACATGAAATAATAATAATAATTAAAAAATAGAATAAATATATTTTTTTCGGACGGCTATAGAAAAAAAGAGATAAAATGATCCTGATGGTCACTGATGTTATTGGCTCCTGATTCAAGACCTGCAGGTTTCTGGGCCGGTGCAAAACCAGCTTTTCTGGCCCAAAACTGACTCTTTTGGTGTGAAATGCTAGCAGATTGAGCTCAGGCGTCCTGTCTGTGGATAAGAGGACTCTCTCTCTCTCTCCCTCTGTCTCTCTCTCTCACACACTCTCTCTGTCTCTCTGTTATCAGATATATCAGCCCTGTCGAGCTTCCAGAAAACATGCTGTCAGTTCCACCAGTCAAGAAACTCAATCACAGCCGATAACAGACTGAACTGACTGTGAGTGTGTGTGTGTGTGTGTGTGTGTGTGTGTGCGCGAGTGAGTGTGTGTGTGTGTGTGTGTGTGTGTGTGTGTGCGGGGGGGGGTGG